CTGTCCAGCTGGATGTCCTCAGGGCCAAGGCTGCCTCTCCTCTGTGGTTGTGGCTGATGTCACAGTGTCTGGGGAATGAACCATCCTCCTGTTGGCCCCTGACTGCCCCCAGGGTGGTGACGCCTGGGCAGCTCCCATCTTGCAGTCTGCGCAGATGGGGCCTAATCTCCTTACTGCTTCCATTGTCCATGTGGCTGCTGCCTGTGAGGCCCAGGCCCAGCTACAGCGGGAGCTGCTTATGCACGGGCTGGGCCCAGGGGCCCCTCCCCGGCTCCACCCACCTGGCAGCTCCCTGCCCTACAGCCCCTGCCCTCCTGGCATGCCCTGCTGCCTTGGAAGCCTCTGCATGGTCCCAGCTCCGTGGGGTCTCTGCCCCACAAGGGTAGATGCTCCTTTGAAAAGATGCTGTGTAAGTCAGAGGATGGATGCTCTCCTTGGGGGAGTCCTGGGTCTGGACTTCACCACAGGCCCTGGATGTGGCCGGGGTGGGGTGCGGGGTGCGATGCACACGAGTATGTGTGTGCATGGCATGTGTGCACATATGTGTGCATGTGCCATTGTGCACACCTGTGTGTGTGCATGCATGAGTGTGCACGTGCATATGGCCGGGGCAGAGGCACCTGCACGTTGCCCATCATCTGAGTAGACCCTGTTCTCCCGCTTCCTTGTCTGCGGGGCCCAGACCCCTTTCCCGGGTTCATGCGGCTCTGTGCACGCTGTAAGGGAGGAACGGAATCCTGCCCCTCGTGTTCACGCATCAGCTGGGCAGAGGAGGGGCACGCTCCTTCCTGTTGCTACCAGCAGGGTGGAGGGAAGACACAGCCCAAGCCATGTTTTGGATGCTGGTGGGCATAAGGGTAACAGAACAGGACTCCGAATGAGATGAACCAGGTTCAACTCCTCATCGGCCTCTCTTCGCAGATGGCATGGCACCAGAGCCCTCATGTGGGGCGGGGTCCGAAGAGCCCCTCACAGAGGGAGCCTGCCCGGAGGGAGTGCCCCTCACATGCCGTGCAGGCCCCTGCTTCTCCCCTGGACCGGAGCATGGGCTTCTCAGCGTTGCTGGGAGAGTGTGGGGAGCACTGCCCGAGTCTGGTCCCACACAGTGCCCGGGAACACAGGGCACATTTCCCCCAGCTCCCCCCGCCTGCTGCTTCTCTCCATCCTGCGAGGCGCACGCCCCGTGGGGGCGGGGGCGGGGAGGTGGAGGATGCTGCTGGGTAAATAATGCACAGCCAGCGCTCTGATTGGCTTCGGGGCGGCGGACACTTTGTCTACATAAATGGCAATCACATCCTCTGTGCCTTTTAACTGTCACTGAGGAAGCAGAGAGAAGAGGACAGAGAGCAAGCACCTCCCTGCTGCCTGTGAGTACTGCTTTGTCCTCAGGGCGCGGGCCAGACTCCGGCGCCAGCTCCCAGGTGGCGGGACCCTGGGCCTGGGCCGGGTGGTCTGCCGGTGATTCTAGCTGTGCAATTTCCCCTCCTTCAAGGGGGCTCTGCCGACTGGGACAGCTGAGCGTCCGTGGGGCAGATGGCGGGGGTGCTGCAGGAACTTTTCTAGAAGATAGGCACCAAACTAGGTCAGTCTGCTTTTTTGTGCCATCTCCAAGCAACAAGTAGTCAGGCAAAGAATCAGAAACTTCTGATTGTTTTTAGCCTATGTTCCTTGAGCCACGAAAGCAACATAACCAAGTGACTGGAAATTATTTTCCAGACCTGCTCGTGTGCCCATAGAGCCCGTGGAGGCCACATGATGGGGCGGGAAGGGCGGGGGCCAAGCCACCCCACAACCCAGGTCTGCACTCAAGTCACACAACTCCCTGGCCCACGCCCTCTCCCTCAGCGGGCACGGGTGTTGGGGTGGGGGGCAGCAAACAGCATCCTTCCCCAGGGGTGTGGGGAAAATCAGGTCTGAATCTATAAAGGGCCAGGCACACAGTAGGTGCTCAATAAATGGGAGCTCTATTATGAATGAGCAAGTAAACCATAGGTAGGAAAGAGCAAGGGCATTGAAAATGCTGCTAAGTGGTCTGCTGCATCCTCCGTTGCTTGTTTTCTCCAGTTTCCAAGGAAAAAGGGCCCGAGAGCTCAGCTCGTTGCAGATGACTTCTCATTCCAATAAGCAGCGCCTCCCCTCTGAAAGGTGACAATTGCAGCATAAACGCTGGCCCTCTTTGGCTTTGTCAAGGGTGCCAGAGACAGACGTACTCCTTTCCTTGGGGACGCCAGAGCCCTGGATGGCAGCCTGGGAGTCCCAGGTGAGGGCAGCAGGTCCTGGAACAGTGACGGCGTTGCAGGGGCAGGGGTGTGGCTGTCTTCCTCTCTCCTGGGGACACGGAGGACGGGCCTCCACACACAGCCAGTGCGACTGAAATAATTAAAATAAGACAAACCCCCTTCAAACCCTCATGCATCCAAAGAAATAGCCCGGGGGTTAGTCACATTTGTTTTCTCCTCTTCATGATGCTGATTATTCTGAAGATTTTACCCTGTCCTCTTGGAAACCCAACTTGAGGGGGCTGGTTTGGGGAAAGGCTCTAGGAAAACTAGACTCCCTGGATATTTCAGAAGAGCGGTCCTGTTTTTCTTGGTGCTCATCAGCATTTCTGGAGGAAGATGCCGGGGAGCAAGAGGCACCTCTCGGGCGCACGGACCCAGCAGGCAGCGCAGGCCCTGGTAGAAAGGTTAAAATCCCACTGCGTTCTGAGGGGTGGCTCAGGGTCCTCGTAAATGCCAGGGCCCGGGCAAAAGGGAAAAGGTCTGGTCTCCTGGTTTGGACAGGCAAGGTTATAAAAGCCACCTCGGAGCTGCGTGGGCTTAGACAAGCTACCTGCTCCCCTGAGCCCATGTCCTCATTTCCAAAGAAAGTGTAACTCTGCCGCTGTGCAGAGCAGATGTCCAGATTGAGAGGATCTGGGTGAAGTGCTTCGACCAGGGCCCTGGGGCCAGTAACTAGTCAACAGTTATTTTATTTTGGAGGAGGTACGGGAGAGGCGCTTCTCTTGGGACACAGGATAGCAGAGTTGTTTGGCCCCTGCCTGTTTCTGTTGGGATCAGCCCGGGGCGGGGTGGGGGGCGGGGGGGAGGCAGACGTGCGCCTGTCGGCAGCGCCGGCCCGAAGCCCGTCCTCCTGCTCTGTGTGCAGATGCGCAGGAGCCCTGGGCAGCACTCTGGGGTGCAGACACTTCCTCCCCAGGCCTGGCGGGAGCCGACAGCGCAGTGCACGCGGGCGCCAGGCCGTAGGAGTGATGGGAAGAGGCCGACTTCAAAATACCGGCACCCACACCCTCCATCGCTGGTTGTGTGGCCGTGGTCAGTTCAACAGCAATAATAATACTCACTTTACAGGATTGTGAGAGTGTCCAGTAAAATAACACATACCAAGTGCTTCCCAGAAGCTTAGGCAATACTGATTTGTGTCTTTTCCTGGACAATAGAATGCGGCAGTCAAGTGTCAACGTGTTGTTGGGATCTGACTTGGGGGAGGCTCGAGTGTAGGCTCCTTAGCAACCCCGGGCGAGAGGCCAGCAACTGTTCAGTAGGAGGGATAATGAAGAGTTCACGATGAATGGACAAGTCAATATTTACCACTGAACTGGTTCATGAAAAAAAGCGAGACTCCCCAAAGAGTGTGCCAAAGCTTACTAAATAGAGTCACGATGCCAGGTGTCCTGTATTTATAATGGACGATAAAGCAATATGTGACATAGTCCCAGGATATTATGACTATTGTGAAAAGGAGCAACCAGCTAGAATGTAATTTGAGTAGTCTCATGTCTATGGGAAAAGGCAGATGGTTGTGACCTTTTGTGAACTATTAACGTGATTTCAAGAGCATCAGAAAAAGGGGGGAAGAATTGAGGCAATAATAAGGGCAAACAATTTTTTAAGGCAGTAGGAGGGTGCGTTCCATCTAAGAGAAGTCTCCTCTGGAATAACCCTAAAATAAAATGAAAACAAAGGAGAAAAGTTAAAATTAAAATTATTAAAATTAAAATTATTCATTGGTTTTTATACAAACCTTTAAAAATAGCAAACATGAATGAAAGTAATAAAATTTGAATGATAAAAGCTAACAGAGATGGGGTGTTCGTGCTCACCATGCTTTGATGATGGGTGACATCTCTGTATCATTCTAGTTCTTCTGGAAGCAACTGGCAACACAGAAAAAGAACTGCACAACTCACACCTCTTAAGTCCATTCGGAAATTAACATATTTGAGGAACAGACTCAACAGGCGTGACCTGTGTCATGATGGTGTCGTTCACTGCCGTCTAGCCATGGCAGTGCTAGTCATGACAGCAACAGCTGACAGAACAAGGAGGTGTCCTAGTGACCCTGTGAAATCCGCTCAGCAGGTCTTGCTAAGGGCAGATGGGGCTTGTGCTGATGTAGTTACGCACGTTGCAGTGAGGCACGCAGGGAAGCGGCAGGTGGAAAAAGAACCCAGATAACATGTATGTCCCCATTGCAACCATTTGAATTGTTTATGGTCAGGACTAAATTGAAGTAATATCAGTGAGTTTAATGCTCCTGACATTCTTTTTTCATCTTTCAAAATTGCTCGAGTTATGGATTTTTCCAGTCAGCTTTAACTTAGGTCACAGCGTGGTGACAGAAATGTGAGTGGAAATGGTAGCATTTTCCCATGGGAGCAAAACTGAAAACCCAGACATAAACTTCTCTATGGCTCCTTTCCATGGAGAACTGTTGGTCAAGAAAAGACTCAGATGGGGCATTGCTTTTTACACAGGGAGTGAGTAAGAAATAGCCTTGCGACACTCCTTCCTTTTTCACATCAGCCAAGGAGCAAGGTTTTCCCTGCGATTTTGATCTTTGTCTATTGCGAAAATTTTCTCCTATTTGTCTCGTGCTGCTGTGGGTGTTCCTATCTCTGCCAAATGACCTGGCCAGCTCAGGAGAAGAGGCTCCTCCCTTTCTTTCCATAATGACAATCATCAGATGCAGGTTTGCAGTCCAAAGTGCTTTCTGCCTGCATCATCTCACTGCCTGGTTTTACATGTGAGCACACTTGGACTCAGGGAAGCCAAGATGTCAGCCGGCAGCTGCACAGCCTCCCGCAGCAGAGGTAGGACTCAGGCCCGTTTCCTCTGAACCCAAATCCACTGTTCTTTCTACTCTCCATGGCTAAGAAAAAGAAGACTATCTCGTGGAAGTGGAATATCGAAAGTTTACTACTCTCAATTGCAGCCTGCTTGACTGGGCAGGGATGTTCTCCCACCAGTCAACGCTGGCCAGAGAGCACGAGGCTTCCTGGGTGGGGCAGGGACAGCCCCATGCTGGGACCCTGGCAGGACTTCCTCTCTACACAGCCACTCCCTTCCGGTGCTAGACTCAGTCCCTCCTGAATTGGCATGGGGTATGGAGAGTGAAGTGATATGTTTCGAGCATCTACCTTGTAAGTTATCTGGTACTCTCTTCACTATCACGTGTGGTGCTTAGTGCAGCGGCCACGGTACAGACTGGAAGTGGAGATGCATTCACATGCTGAAATCTAGCCCGCAATGTGAGCGTAACAGGAGGTGGGGCCTTTGGGGGGAGATTAGGGCATGGAGACAGAGCCCTCATGAATGGATTAGTGCCCTTATAAAGAGACCCCAGAGTGACCACTCACCCCTTCCACCATGTGAGGACACAGGGAGAAGGTGCTGTCTGTGAGGAACGAGCCTCACCAGACACCGAATCTGCTGGTGCCTTAGTCTTGGACTTCCAGCCACCAGAACTTCGAGAAATCAGTGTCTGTTGTTTATAAGCCACTCAGTCCAGGGTACTGTATCACAGCTGCCCGAACAGACTATGCCGGGGGTTTGGCGAGCTCAGCGTGCTCAGCCTTGGTCACACCTCTGGCAGACAGCTGCCCAGCCCATCCTCCTCCACTTCCCATTTGCGAGGCACGGGAACTCTAAGCATCTGAGGGGCATTTGGGAATCCTTTCCTCGAGGCTCCGGGACCAACTGGTTTTTCAAATCTCTAATCCTGAAGTTACTTTATGCCTTTTTCAAGGATGCCAACAACCCATAGGCTTCTGGTCACCTCGGTGAGGTGTGCTCTGTGCCCGTGTTTGCGCCCAGGCATTCTCTCCAGTGCCTTCGGGAGCCAGACTGTCCGGGTTCAGCTGTGGACCTGACCTGATGCAGCAGGGTAGAGTCTTGGTCGAGTCGTGTAGCTCCTCTGCCCCTCAGCCTTGCGGTCTGTTAAAGGGGGAAATAGTCCTTGACGAGGTTATGAAGATTAAATACGAGAACATGTGCGAAGAGCTTAACGTAGTCCCTGGCACATGTAAGTTCACAGAAACATCAGCACTTTGTAAACCAATGAGAGTGTTCCTGTTTAAACAAGAACACCCAGATTTACATAGAAGTGGTGGTATGAGTATAAGAACGTGGTAAGGGGGTGCATGTGGTGGGGAGGTAGGAGGTCCCCTGGCTTAATTATGTGAATTATAAATAGGGACACTTTGGCATAAAGGACAAAGGAAATGTGGGCTCTGCCTCTGCATTGCTACAGCCGGCTTCACACCTGGGACTGCCTTGCGCATCTCTGGGTTCCAGAGTCCTCCTCCGTAGAGTGAGGAGAGTGACAGCACCTACCTAATAAAGCATGAAATGAGTTACGACGTCAACCCATCTTGGGTCTTTCTGCCAACAGATCTCTCTCTCACCATTGTGACCCTCACAGACGGTGCTGTGTGTGCCCCAGGATGCCTGGTTTCTGGCAGGGTTTTGCCAACGGGAGGTCTGGTGGGAGGCTGAAGGGCAGAGGTGCTGCCCTCTCCATGACACCGGCTGAGTCTCCCCCTTGGCGCCCACTCCCCTTGCAAGACTGACCAGGTGGCAGCTTTATACAGATGGCCTGCTCCCTGGCTCTGGGAGCACAGTCTGCCCCGTCCCTCCAGTCTAGGGCTGGGAGTGGGGCACAGAGGCCCAGGGAGCTGAACTGACCTTCCTCGGTTGCCTAAGGTCGCCCAGCTAACAAGGGGTGGAGCTAAGATGGAAACCGAGGACGCAGGACGAAGAGTCCACTCCATCTCCTGTGCCATCGCCCAGAACACTTTCCGTCTGCGCTGCTGCCATATCGACCTTTCCCGCCCATGTGCAGGAGTCTGTCAAGTTTCTGTCTTTATAGTTTGTAAAGCTCACGTGCTGAGGGCCTTAGTGACATAGGATCTTCGTGTGGGATTGACATTCTGAAGGACTCCACAGGAGCCTGAGGTCAAGCGTGTGGGGTCATTGGCTTTGAGGACAACAGTCCCCAAGAAAAGCGGCTGTGTGTGCAAAGAGACCGAGCACTAGGCTCGTGCTAGGTCCCTGACTGTCGTCTCCTCAGAGAATCAGATGAGTTAGCGCCGTCTGAGTGTCACAGACCAACAGGAACAAGCTGCAAGATGGGGTTTCCATCTCGAGAGCCCCGGAGAGGAGCGAGGCGAGACCGTGTCATAGACGGAGGGGAGGGAAGAGGGGGAGCTGGCCTGGAACACCCCAACAGGAGGCACTTCTGATCAGTTAATAATTTTCTTTTTTACTTTTTTAAAAAATTTATAGACTTCCGTAGCAATTTCAGGTTTACAGAAAAATTGAGCAGAAAGAAGAGTTCCTATTTTCCCCTCTTCCCCACCTCATTTTCCCCATTATTAATAAAAACGTTTTTGCTGAACACCGACTTTGCGTCCGACACTCACCACGTGATCCCATTTAATCTTCCCAGCAGCGCGGAAGGGAGGGATTTTCATGCACTTTTTTGCTTTCACAGAGGCTGTGAAGGAGCCTCAGGAAGGTTGGAGGTTGAAGGTCGCACGGTAAATGGAAGAGGTGACCTTGACCTCGGGTCTGCCTGGCGCTTGGTGGCGTGCCAAAGGCCTCTGGAGCGCAGATTTTGATTGTTCGTGTGTGTCACCGTCGCCAACAAAGTGTTTACCCAAAGCTCCTTGGTAGCATGCTGTTTAACCAGCGCCTTAAGAGTTAAAAGAGAACGTACAGGGTTTTTGTTTTTTCTTTTTGAGGCAAATTATCAGTCACTTTTCCTGTTATTAGAAAGCTCTCATGGCTAGAAATTTCTGTATTGTCTTAGTTGGAAACATTTCTCCTACTGGGTTTTTTTTAATGCTCTTTGAACCCACAGAGAAAATGTTCAAGAAACCAGTCAATTCAGGGGAAAATCGGCCAGTTCGTTTTGTGCCTGGGTTTATAATATATGCTTGAGGGGAAAAGAGAGAGATAGGGCCTCGGTCCCAGAGGACTGAGTGTTTTTTGAAACATTGTGGTTCATTGTTTTCTGGAATTGTATATTAAAAAAAAAGGCAACACAGCTTTTTCATCAAGATAGAAAATGAAAGAAAGGAAGATTGAATAAAGTCTCCAGTGTCCCAGGGTTTGAAGCAGCACCGTGTCTTGCGTGCACGAACAGGACGACAGCACAGCGCTGCGTGCTGTCCCCAGCCTCGACACACAGGAACTGACTCGCGCACAGCGGGGCGTAGCTGGTCCTGGCAGGGTCAGGTTTGTGTCACTGGCAAATTCTGCACCGAGGTTGCATGGAGGCTGGATTCCCCTCCCCCACCCCCTACCCATAGAAACGTCATCCAGGGGGCTGGGTTCTGGCCAGATGGCTGAGGCAGGAGCCCGAGGGGTGCAATCCTAGCGCCCAGGCTGTGGACACTGAGCCGAGTACTGAGAGTCCTAGAGGCTGGAGGCTTGGAAGGAACTGAGACCTGAGAGGCCACAGGTGGAAGCGGGTCAGGATTCCTTGGTGGGAGGGGGCTGTGGTTCCTGAGCCACTACTACCTCCTGCGACTCTTTTTTTGTGGCAGGTATGTGATGGGCTGTCGGTTTGGGCTGTCTTAAAGGCAGAGAGTAAGATCCAACATAGTATATTACAGAAATAAAATGTTTAGAGGACCAAAGATCATTCATTCATTTATTCATTCATCATTCAGCAAACGTCCAGTGCTCACTGTGGTCTAGAACCTGTGACTGGTCCCAAGAATGCAAAAATAACTAAGTTGAGGTTGGAGAAGCCCACAGTTAGCAAAGGACATCAGTGGGAAAAGTTACCAAAAACCAACCCTACGGTCCATCAGGAGATCTGAGGGCGTTCAGGGGGTTCATATCTTCTTGAAGCATGTGGGGTTAGAGATGAGCTGTGACTGTCGCTCATGCAGAAGACACCGAGCCAGAGATCCAGGAAGGCGGCCGGCTGGCTGTGAAGTACCGTGCTGTGCTCCTCTGCCGACACTGATCAGACTATGTCAACAGAAACTGTTTCAAGGGCCTGGAGAGGCATCGGCCACAGCCTTTATCACAGTCTCCATCTTCCAGCTAATATTTGCCCAGCTTGGGGGCATGAAATATCAAACAGCTACAAAATGAGTACAAGATTCTCTGTGGCTTTGCACTAAGAGCCTTCTGAAAAGGTCTTTGTGGGAAATAATCTGCAAGTAAATGACACAGACTGGTTTGTAAAATAATAACCAGGTCTTATTTTACACTTTCAGAGTATTTCTTTTGGAGGATGTGATATGTGTTCGTCTGTTTTCTCCAGAGAAACCTGCTTTGGGCACAGCACCGTCACTCGGAGCTGGTCCCCGAGAAGCCGAGCATCGTTCTTACCCTGGCACGGCTCCAGGTTGCCACGTGGCACGTGCGGCTCCCCAGCAGGGCACATGGAGATCGCTAGAATATTTGCTTTAAAAGCAACTTGTAATAGTCGCACGCAAGATACAAATCATAAAGAAAAGATCATGAGATTTCACCACATAAATATTGAAGTTCTTATAGATCAGAATAAAATCATAAGCAAAATTAGGTCAAACAAAAATGAGGGAAATGTCCACAAAACATGTCAGACATAAGGGTGGAAGTATTGATATTTAGAACCCTGGCAACAAAATAAGAAAGTACCTGACGCCCTTGTGGGAAAGAATGCAGTGAGCAAGCCAGCTGTGAAAGAAGAAATCCAAACGGCAAAGAAACACGAAAGAATTGTTTGACTCATTAATAGAAGTAACACAGAATCATTAATTCTTATTAGACTGGTAAAGCTTAAAACAAACATTCAAACCCAGTGTCATTCCTACCTCATCCAGAGGTAGAAGGTGGCCTTGACTTGGGACCTGGGTGGCCGTCAGGGTTTGTGGGTCACTGCCCGGGTGGCCCTGCCCATCAGCTAGCTTGGAGTCCCTGCCCTCCAGTGCGGAGGTTGTAGGGTTTGCCAACTGCATTGTTTTGTCTCTCTTTGCAGTTTTCACTCTGCCCAGCTGCCATGAATTCCAGTGAATTCCGAAGGAGAGGGAAAGAGATGGTGGATTACGTGGCTAACTACATGGAAGGCATCGAGAGTCGCCAGGTCTACCCCGATGTGGAGCCTGGCTACCTGCGGCCCCTTATCCCTGCCGCCGCCCCCCAGGAGCCGGACACGTTTGAGGACATCATCAGTGACGTGGAGAAGATAATCATGCCGGGGGTGCGTGAGTGCCTGGGGGCAGAGCACAGCAGGGCTGGGCACTGGGCTGGCCACACGCATTAGCTCAGGAATCCTTACCGCAGCCAGGTTGCAGAGAGACTTGTGTCGTTTCTATTTCACAGGTGAGGCCACCGTGGGCCACTTTAGGTCACACAGCTGGTTAATGATGGAGCCAGGATTCCAACCCCGATCACGCCGGCTCCTACAGTGGCCAGCACTCTTCCCCCTGAGGTCCCCGGAGGCCCAGCCCCTGCCCCAAGACACCTGTTACATAGAGTGCATCATCACCTGCAGGTGGGAGGAAATCAGCCCTGCTGCCTGGTTTCAGACGAGTCAATTGTTCCAAATAAAGCATGCTCCTCCCATCCTTGGGCTTAGCAAGGGTAAATCTCATGTATGGGAGAAACGTTTTATTTATTTTATTTGAGAGGAGGCAGTGTGGTATTCCTTCTCCCCAGAGGCTGACTACCGAGTTAGGCCTCTTTCTCTGAAGCCAGGGAGTCGCAGCTCAGCACGAGGTGCACAGAGAGGCCCCAGCACAAGCAGGACCTGGCGCCATGCCTGGTCCTCACTCAGAGGGACTTCACTCTGGCTCTGTGCTTCTGCAATGAGATTTTCTCTGATGAGGAGTTCGCCTAAAGGCCTGTCCATTAACGGGTCTCCGTGAGGTCTGGCCTGGCCGTTCCGGCTTCCAGACCAGGGTCCGTGAGGGTGGTCAAACCTGCCCTTCGGCGCAGCCACATCAGCCTTGGCTGACGATGCGCAAGTCCACTCAGCCGGGCTGGATCGGCCGATCGCCTCGCCGTCCCATGCTTCGGTGGTGGCAAGGACGGTGAAAACGGGCACCGACAGTCACAGGAGGGGGATCTGGGGCCATCAAGGCCCCCTCCCTCATTTTAAGGCAGATCGCTGAGGCCTTGCGCGGGCGACTGGTCAGCCAGGCGACAGGTCACTGACCCTGGGCGGCGTTTGGCCGCAGGCCCGCGAGCTCGGCAGCCAGTTCCGCAGCAGCAGCGAGCCTCTCTCATCACATGGCTCCCGTCTCGCCTTCCCAGGGGGTTTTCACTTGGCATTTGTGGTCTGAGTGGAGAACAGGACTCCTGTGCGTGGCTAGAAGTTGTGCAAATACACTAAGCTGTCCGGTATAAAATCCTCTGTAGGGAGGTGTGATTAAATGTCAGGCGCGGACTGTGGGAGGCGGGGAAATTTAAAGTCCCCTGCTCCATTATGGGGGGGTATTCGCTGCGCAGAGCTGAGCAGGGAGACCGCAGGCTCTGGGGCAGGCTCCCCGGGTGCTAGCTGCGTGATCGCGGGAAAGCCAGGTAGGCCCTGTGTGCCCGTGCGCACGTGCAGCAGTGCAGGACGCCCTGTCGCCAATGTCGCAGTGGAGGAGCACTGTGGAGTGAAGCGAAGGAGTATGTCCCCAATCAACGGTCGCTCTTGCCCTTCCCCAGGGGCAGGTGGGGAGGGGCCTCCGGGACTGAAGGGGAGAGCAGGGCCCAGGGCCACGCTCTTACTCTCTGGGCCTGGGCACTTTTGCCTTTGTGGGCCCTTCCTTCCTAGGAATATGAAAGATTATACTTTACCAATGTATTGGCAGAAAGATGAGAGTACATGAACATTGCAGATTTTTTTTGCCTTGAAAGTTCACTTTTTTCTTCTGATTTTAAAAGAAATCCAAACATTTCCCAGCCGCTAAGAGTCCTGTGGGCCCTGAGCCTGCCATGCTGAGTGTGTCATTCAGCCTGCACCGCTTCTCTGCCTCTGGCGTCCCCCCAGCACCGCCCTCTGCCCACCCGCACCCTGGCGCACCCGGGGGAGTGCTCATGCTGGGTCTCGGGCGACATATGCTTAATAACTAGCGTTATCAGAAAGTAACGTTTGCATATTTGCCCAGCCTGTGAAACAGCAACGTCTTAGCTCAGGCTGCGTAACGAAGTACACAGACCGGGGCCTTAAACAACAGACACTGATTCCTCACAGTTCTGGAGCTCTGGAGGCTGGACGTCCGAGCTCCAGGCGTTGGGCTCAGGTGAGGGCCCCGTTCCTGGTTTATAGACAGCAGATTCTCGCTGCAACCGCATGCAGCACAGAGAGAGTTAGCTCGGTCTCCTCTTGCGGGGGCACCGATCCCACCAGGGGGCTCCACCTTCGTGACATCTCACCACCCAAGGACCCGACCTCCTGATACCATCGCTTTGGGGGTTAGGATTTGAACATATGAATTGGGGGGGGGGGCACAAACCTTCAATCTATAGCAACCAGGGATGTCAGAACATGTCCACAGCCATGGGCTGTGAGGTAGGCCTGGGATTCTGCGTGTCAGAGCTGGAAGACACACCGGAGCACATGCTTCCATTTTACCTGAGGGGACGATGGAGCCCCGAGAGGCGCCAGTTGCTCGAGGTAACCCAACAAATCCAAGTCCCTGCCAGACTTGCAGTCTGGGGGCACATCTGCCACCATGCAGCTCACACATGCAGGATGGAAAGGGAGCAAAGAGGGGAAGACGGGGAGTGGGACAAGGTCTCTTGGACACCAGGACATGGTTTCAGCCCCCAAGGGGGATCTGAATGACAATCGTAGTACCTTCTCCCTGCACTGGGGGCTGGTTGTCCTAAAGGCTAGGTTCTGCTCTCACACGTCAGGCATGCTATTGGCAAGAATAAATTAAAGAAGGAAAGCTCAGGCTACACCCCCTCCTTCTCGGACCTCCCAATCTTCTTCCCAAACTCTGAGATGTTCCAAGCTGATCCCTTTAACCACCGTAAGCCTTCCCAGCTTGTGGCTTGTGGAACTCTGGGTCCCCACCTGGATGGGCGCCCACACCCCTCACCTCCTGACAGCCTGGCTCCTGGCACCCTCTGTCCCCAAGTGTCCCGCACTGAGCTGTCACTGTCCCTTTGCCTCTCCTCCCCTGGCACACGACGAGCTCTTCCTCTGCACCTCACCCAGAGTGTGGCACAGGGCAAGCGTCCACTCCTTGTGGGCTGGAGAAGGGTGGGAAGCCCACAGCTGGGACAGGAAGGTGGGGACAGAGGCAAGGTGGGGCAGCAGAGGGGCGAGGGCTGGGGGTGACAGAGCTGCCTGGCCGCAGGGGCAGCTCATCCAGGCAGCTGGGGCAGCAGAAAGACCAGATGGGTGTTTGGGGCTTGACTGAAGACAGTTTGACACCGAGGCTCTTTTGTTGTTTTTTTTTAAATACAGACTTTATTTTTTAGAGGTGTTTTCGGAAAAGCGAGCGTTTCACACAAAGAGATCGGCCGGGCGCAGCACTCTCACTGATGAGCGCTCCTAACAAAAACTCGAAACTTGTGTCATTTTCAGAAACCTCATTTGTTTTGGCAAATGATGATTTCCCCCTTGATTTTAGGGACGTAATTTCCTTCTGAGCCAGCAAATATGTTCCAGTAATTTAAAAAAGGCATCTGTCTAAAGTGCATATCACAGTAAGGTGATATGTAAACGTTCCAAAGTAAAGGGAGGAAGGCGCGGGGTGGCTGACATTTGGGGAACTGCACTAACCCCTACTGGGGTCTGGATGCAGCCAGTGGGCTGGGCCCTCAGGGCACCTGCGTCCCCGCCCTCGTGAGGCCAGGCTTCCCTCACTCCTGACTGCTCCATCCTCCCGCACAGGTGACCCACTGGCACAGCCCCTACTTCTTCGCCTACTTCCCCACGGCCAGCTCGTACCCAGCCATGCTCGCAGACATGCTGTGTGGGGCCATCGGCTGCATCGGCTTCTCCTGGGTGAGTGTGTGGGTGCTCCGGCAGCCTGGCCCCCCACCGACAGTGGGGGCGTCAAGGGAGGTCCCTTCGTGGGCGTGGCACCTGTACACACAGGAGCTGAACAGAGAAATGTCTCAACAACTCAAAGCCAGTTCTTCACAGCAGTGTTAGGAGCACTTGGTACGAGTTAAAATCACAGTCTGGGGCCCCAGGTTTTCTGAAGTTCGAGCCTGGGAATTTGCATTTCCTCCAAGCGGCCAATTTCTATATACTCTGAAGCTTGAGAACTCCTACAGCCCCTGTCTTGTTCCAACTGTTCCCAGCCAGGCCTGCTGCCCAGGGACAGGCCCCACCCGGCCCATCAGACGTGCCGAGTGCTCAGAGCAGGGGACTCTAGAAATGGGCCCAGCTCCTGCCCCCACGCCAGCAGTCCTGCCCTCTCTGGGGTAAAATGCCTAGAAAGACCCCTGCTCAGAAGAACAGCTGGGCCGGCTCTGCCCATGGCTGTCTCCTCCAGGCACAGTGCTACGGGATGGCTCCGTCCTCCCCGAATGCAGAGAGCTGGGAATCAGAGTCGGCCTAATGGTCAGGGGCCCAGGGCTGCCCACACCTGGGGTGTTCTTCAAAGGCCAGGGTCTGTCTCCGGCCTGCCAGGTCCAGAGCAGCCACCTTGTCTGTGCCTTGGCACCAGGTAGACCGGTGGGTGTTGGGCTGTGCTGCATGAGGCCCTGAGGTGACAGAGGAGATGTCAGTTACAAATCCACAGCACTGAGCAGCCAGTCCAGCCGAGACCACCCTGCCTCACCCGCCTGGCACTGGCTCTTCTGTAGGCTGGGGCGTGGGGAGTGGCTGGTGGAGCAGGCATCACAGGTCCCCCAGACAGGGTGAAGAGGCCATCCCTGCTCTTGCCACAGTGTCTGCGCACTTCCCTGCCAGGTGCCCAGGTTTTCTGTCTCCACTGGGCAGAGCTGGCCTGGGCTGAGCACACCTTCTTCTAAGGGGCGTTTTCTCTCATTGCATATCATAGTGGATTTTGTGTAGTTCGGCTGGTCTAGACTCATTCTGTCCCTGCAGAGTGGCTTGGCCTTAGTACTCAACTGCGCCTGCTCATTCTAGGACAGTCTGACTGCTCCTGGGCTTTGGAGGGGGGCCTCGGTGTCTCTCAGGCTGTGGTGCCCGGCATTTGTGGTTCCTAACAGGGCACAGGTTCCCAGTAGAACTAGGCTTAGCCGGGCTGGGCATGGGCCAGCGGGAGGGCTGCCGGGAGAGAGAAAGCACTCCTCTCACTCCTACTAGCAACGTGTCACGATGCGGGTGTGCACGTCTAGGCAGGAGAGCACCTCTGAGCACAAAGTAGGCCCCTTACGTGGAGACTTATATGAAAGTGGAGGCTCAATCCATCTTTGGATGGGACCCAAGGCCAGCCTGCCACCTCCTGTGTGCCAGGAGAGGGGAGAGTCCATAGGGCAAAGCCATCGGGAGCTTTAGTGACAAGATCGATGGCTTCTCCAAGGACGCCCAGAGGGTGAAAGCTGCCCCACACCCACTTCTTTGACTTGGTACAGTGCCTCTCCCATTCACCCATGACTATGGAGGAGAGTCCACCCGTGGGCTTTCTAGATCCTTCTAGAAGTAAACCAACGAATAGGCGAGCAAGCCCACAGTGCCTGTGTAGCAAGGCACAGTGGAGTAAGGTTTATCACATTCCTTTTGCGTGAATCTTGTCAAGGAACACGTGTTTGAAACTTCTTTCAGGCATTTGAACCGCATCTGAGATCAGGTGATTTTAATTCGGGGTTCAGGGTAAGATTAAACCTTCCTGCTGCTCCCCCGATTCTGCAACGTCCAGCCCTTGGTCGGTCCCTCCCTCCCCCCACAGGCGGCGAGCCCGGCGTGCACGGAACTGGAGTCGGTGATGATGGACTGGCTGGGGAAGATGCTGGAGCTGCCGGAGGCGTTTCTGGCTGGGAACACGGGAAAAGGGGGCGGCGTGATCCAGGTGAGGCTGGAGAACGCGGCGAGGAGGGCGCTGTCCCGACACGCGGGCTCCACACAGGACCGAGGTCCTCGGGATTTCTCCCGGAGAATAAACAGAACGAGCTCTTAGGACACCCTGGTCCTGGCACTGCAGGGGCTCGATTCCGATCCCAGAGCTGTGTCTCCCTCACTGTGAGCAGGGTGCTCACCCCCTCCCTCATCACTCCACGGTAGAGGGGACCATGGCTCTCACAGGCAACGGCAACTAACACTTGCCTGGGTTCCCTGTTGCCAGCGACCGTGCCCATGCTCTTTCCGGGCCTCAGCTCATTTCCTTCTCACAATGACACTATGAATTGGGGGACGTTTTAATGCCCCTGGTTACAGGTGAGGAAAATGAGGTAACTTGCCCGTTGGCTCCATATCTGTGCAGCTCAGAGGCTGGATTTCCCCACCACAGGGTCCTATCCTCAGCATGGGTGGCAGTTGTGACCCTGCTTTGGAGGACAACAGCGCTGCTTGTCCATCAGCCGTAATTTCCCTAAAGATGCTGTTTCCTATGCACTGATTTCATTCATCCTCCTCATTTGACTGTCCCCGCTGCCAGAGCTTACGCCAGGGAACAAGACAGACACAGTCGACAGTCATGACGGAATTTCTATTCCACTGGGCTTGCAGGACAAATGCCACAGGGGTGACTTGGGCTGGGTGCATTTTCTCTCTTAGTTCCCAGCATGGGAGATGAACTATATTGAACCCACTACCCTCCCTTACCTCATTCTTCTCATGACGAGTACATGACAAAGTCAGGAAAGCATTGCTAACTTCGGGAGCAAGAGAGTTCCTTTTCCAGTAGTGTCTTCCCCAAGGCTCTGAGAATCGGCGAAGGCCTATGCAGCCGGCACACGCTGAGGCTCAGCCTGGAAAACGCCGTCGTGCGAGAGCACGTGGCCGGCTGGCCAGCTGAGACCGGGCAGCAAGCCTCCCACTTCGCATCCTGCAGCTACCCAACAAGACCAGGGTTCCTAACCTCCCGCGGAGCTGTGTTGTCCTGCTGCTGTAACAAATGCTAGTGGCTTACCACAACGCAAATTTATCATCTCACAGTTCTGTAGGGCAGAAATCTGACCTGGATCTTACTAGCCTGAAACCTAAATTGACACCTTGGAAGCTCCGGGGCAGAATCTGTTTCCTTGCCTCTTGCTGCTTCTAGAGGCCTCTGGAATGCCTTGGCCCACGGCCCCCACCTTCATTTTCAAAGCCAGCTGTGTTCCATCCCTTGGACCTTCCTACGTGATCATGTCTCCCTCTGAACACAGACCTGAAAGTGGGTCTCCACTTTTAAGGACCCACGTGATGGGATTGGGTCCACCCAGATAATCCAAGATAATCTCCCCAAGTCAAGTTTCTTAATTTAATCACATCAGCAGCGTCACTTTCTCCCTGTAAGGTAGCAGTCACAAGTTCTGGGGATTAAGGCCTGGGATCCTTGAGGTGGGGGTGCATTATTCTGCCTACCACATCCAGTGTGCATCAGGGTCATGGAGAGAGCTTGTTTACGATGCCAATTCCTTTAGAGATTAGAATTCGACAGGTCTTGGGTGGACCCAGGAATGTGAACTCTAATTCATTCTGATGCCTTCTCTGTGACCAGCAGGCACGGGGCAGGCTCAGAGCCACTCCCTGGGTGCATGTCCCTCCCATCCTCTGGTTGTCTTACTTTCTATAATGCGGACGTGGTTCTGAGTGGGGGGCTGATGGAAATGGAACATTAGCTATGTTGTGAGCAAAGTTATGATGTGATGCTGCGCACTGGACTTTTAAATATAACGGCAACGGTGACCCTGCAAATGCAGCACGCTTCTCCCCAGGATGGTTTACAGGGAGGCTGGGGAAGCCTCCTTGGCCAAGACCACAGCACAGATAGGACGTCACAGGTACTCTTCTGGCTCAGTGAAGGGCCACCGCATACTGCCCCAGCCGACGCCCAGCTGCTGCACTTCCCCTTGGTGAAGACCGGGAGACTGTCAAGGTAGATCTTTTTAGTGGATGAGGAAATGGAGGCCCACAAAGGTAGCACCGGGGCAAAAACTAATTAAAAACAAGGCTAGTACGAAAGAAAACTAGAGCTATGAGTGTTAGGCCAGCTCGCCCCTGACAGTTTGCTTGGGTTAGTGTCCAGAGGTGTGCATGCTAAGCAGAGGTTAAATTATCTTTTCATTAAAGACAACCCCATTTTTGAGAGTCAGTGGAAATCCTAGCAATTAGTTTAGGAATGGTCCTGGCAGCTCTCAGCCTGGGCTTCCACGCAGTCTCCCGTGAGCCCGATCCACTCACTGTGGAACAAAAGCAGGCAAAGGGGTCTGTGTTTGCGGCCAGCAGCTTGCCCTTCCCAGCTGACAAGGCTGATTGTCAGTAATTAGCAAGGCCCCAAAGAGCACCAGGGCCTGGTGACAGCCCGAGAGTGGCCGTATTGATCCCCTCGGAGCTGTAATCACAGCTGCCGGGCATCCGTGCAGAAACGGCGTCTGAGTCAAAAGGCAAATCGTCACTGTGAGGCTGGACAAAATGTGGGCTGTGGACATGGTCTCCTAATTGAGGTTGAAGGCTCTTGCAGAAGAAAAACCAATTTCTCGCTGTGTGTGGGGTGACACTCGACAAACCAGAGGATGAGAGGACATTTCTGCTCCCTGCATCGGCAGCCTAGGCATCAGATCTCACCGGCGTTCCCTCTGCCTCTTGCACGGGGCTTGCCATGGCAACCCGTGCTGCCCTCACACAAAGCCGTCGTCCCTGCTCCCTCACCACACGGCCACCCTCCCGACGCTTCCCTCGCGAAGATCTGCTCAGCAACCGGCAGCGAGGTCCCTCTGCCTTCATGCCGGGTGTGCTCTGGCGCACCGCATTGCAGCTGCGCGGTCCTGGACGCTCTACTGACAACTTGCTTCCTTGCACTTTTTTATTTTTAAACACTTTTTGTTGACTTAAGAAGGGGAATTTTCTCCCAGGACAAGGACGGAGCCCACAGGAAAACCCATAATGCACTGGCATGGCTATGCAAAGCCTTCCTGAGAATATGGTTTAGAGAATGCGCATTTGGGTTCTGGAGACTTCAAGCAGAGGGTAGAGTTTAGACAGGGAAGCTGCAGTCGCACCTGAGCGAGGGTGGGAACAGGGGCTATGCCTTTCCATGGGCTTTTCATGTCACATTTCCAGTGAGAACGGATGGACCCATGGTAACAAGATGTGTGTAGGTTTTGGGGGGCCAGGAAACAAGCCATGTGGGAGGGATGGTGGGGTGGGTGGGAGGAGGGCAGAACACTATGCGCCCTCGGGGAGCTGGACTTCCTGGGCTAGCTGATTTACCTTTGCAGCCAAGTTTCTTTAACCTGGTCAAAACCATGTCTAAAATCATTGCTCATGAAAATACGGCCTGAGGGAAATGACATACCCACGTAAGATGCTGGATGAAGAGAATTTCACATCTGTGTATTTGAACTCATGCGTTAGAGCTACAGAGACATGCATAAATGTACTAACCTTTAAATATCACCCGTCTCCGCAAGGATGAGTTGGCTCAAAAGAATAAGTAAAAGTAGTGGAATGGTAAAATCAAAATGGGAAATCAAGATCAATGAAGAGAGGATAAAATGTTAATGAGGGAAGTTAGCATTTCTATATAATTATTATATTATTTATTTCCCTGTAAAACTCTATAATCTTGTAAACCTCTCTCATTGTCAACAAAAAGCTACCTTCTTGTACTTGTCCTTTCTAATGTTAATACTGGTCAGCTGCTGGTTTCCTCTAGGATTTGCTCAGGAGGGAAAATGCTCACAGATGTGGGGGGACCACGACACCCCAGGAAGGGCAGGGGCAGCTCTCTCCTGGCCATGCCCCACACCAGCTGCTGATGTGGGACAAGACATTTAACCTTTATATCCATCAGTTTCCCCACCTGAAGATGAGAAAATACAAAAATGGGATTATTTTGCAAATTAAATGGGATAACATAAGCAGGCACTGAATCTGTTATCTTTTATCGCCCCACCCCAATCTCAAAGGAGTGAACTTTGAACAGTTCTTTACGACTCTGTTAAAATAAATTGTTGACATTAGTTTGCTAGGGCTGCCATAACGAAATATCACGGACTAGGTGGATTAAATAGCAGAAATTTGTCTTCTCACAGTTCTAGAGACTAGAAGTCCAGGATCAAGGCGTCAGCAGGGTTCGTTTTTCCTCACGCCTCTCTCCGCGGCTTGCAGATGGCCACCTTCTCCCTGTGTGCCCACGGTCTTCCCTGTGTGCATTCACAGATCTCAGGTCTAAATTTCCTCTCCTTATCAGGATACCAGTCAGACGGGATTAGGACCCAGCCATAAGACCTCATTTTACCTTACTTATTTCTTTAGAGAGTCTATCTCCAAATACGGTCACGATCTGAGGTCCTAGGGGTTAGGGCTTCAACATGTGAATTTTAGGGTACACAATTCAGCCTATATCATTAAGGATTAAGAGAAATCCTCCAAGGCATTTCCGAGTCTCAAGGAAAATGCATCCTCATTTTATAAACAAATTCAAATCTCTCTGTCCAAGTGTTTATGAACAGAACACGCAGCTGGGCTTGGACACTGATGCCCTGGGCCAGTCTCCTCTGGTGGAGACATGAGAGTCCTCCAGGCCAGGCAGGGGGAAGTCCGTGCGAAGATGCCTGCAAGGCTGCTGTCCCAGTGCCTACTGTGCGCCGAGTGCTCAGCAATGTCCGCGGTCACCATTGCATAAACTGGACCCAGCAACGTCAAACTGACACTGAGCTGACGCGGCAGTCTCAGATGTTCACAAGTGTTAGTTTTCTCCTGTGCAAGGAGAGTGAAATTATCATTTCGGATTCGTCTTTTAAGAAAAATATGGACATAAAATAATACATATTCTGCAGTTAAGGTACTGATTCCTTTGCTATATTTGAGTATCATTTGGATTTTTCTCTTGGATTTAGGGAAGTGCCAGTGAAGCCACCCTGGTTGCCCTGCTGGCTGCTCGAACCAAAGTGACCCGCCGGCTGCAGGCGGCCTCCCCGGAGCTGACGCCGGGCGCCATCATGGAGAAGCTGGTGGCCTACACATCCGATCAGGTGAGGGTGTTGGGGGTGCATGGCCCCAAGTCCCATCGAGACTTCAAGATCTGAATGTTTTGTTTTATGTCAAATCCAAACAAGACAAAAACCACATGGCATCCTTTCAAATCCAGAACAGTTCGTCAGGTATCACCAAGATAGAGTCCTGCGCTGAAGGGAAGGGGTGCATCCCAGTTGGGATCTAGACAGATCAAGTTGGAAAGAAACTAAATGTGTGGAGAGTTCACCAAGACCAGCTCCGTTTCCATTTCTACCAGCGTTGACCTGCCTGTGTTCATCTGCGATTTAAGTTCTGTGATCTCAGACCCCTTGTAGGGTCAAGCAAGGGACAGTGGTGCGGGGGTGGGGGGAGCTGCAGTGGGGGAGGTGGCAGCTTTTGTGAGACAGGACTTCAGAGAAGCTCTGAGAGAGGATGGATCTGCCGTCCAGGGACGGTGCCTTGTTGCTGGTTTTTCTCCAGACGCTATCTACTGAGCGTGGCACCAAGCTGCCCAAGGCCGCCCAGTGAGAGGCAGGGCCCAAATTTGAGCCTGGGATCTCTGAGTGCACCTCATACGTGTACTTTCCAGAGTCTCACCTGCTCTTGAGTTCAAACAAACGAATGGAATTCTTCACCGATACTGACCCAGCACTTCACCCTTATTAGTGCCTGATCCATTAAATTTAAAAGCAAGATTCCATACGAATAGAAACAACTCCAGGAAACAAGGGGTCTTCATGAAGGTGTAGGGAGAGGGGGAGACGAGCAGTTCTGCCACTGGTGTGTAGTGGCGCCCTGTGTGGGTAGTGTGGCTGCTCTCTATAGATCATGGGCCCGGTAGCAGCTGCACAAGCAAAACCGCATACCTGCGCACCGCACAGACCTGACCGCTGCTTCCTTTCCAGGCACACTCCTCGGTGGAGAGAGCTGGGTTAATTGGTGGAGTGAAATTAAAAGCCATCCCTTCAGATGACAACTTTGCCATGCGTGCTTCTGCCCTGCAGGAGGCTGTGGAGAGAGACAAGGCGGCTGGCCTGATTCCATTCTTTGTAAGTTCAATAGCGCTTGTTGCGTATGGTGTCAAGGGGGTCTCTGAGCCCTGCCTGGGCCTGGGATAGGGCCCTGGGTTGCTAGAGCCACCTTGCAGGCTGCCATGAGAGTTACAGGCCAGGTGGTATTTATGTTGTCTCCTTGAGGAAGGCTGGAGAAAGACTCCATTTATTTCTCATTCTACATCTTTAATCTCAGCAAGGAGTAGCCAGAACACCCCCCTGTCTAGTGGGTTCTGCTAAGCCCAGGAATCTAGCTTCTGCTTCTTGTTAAAAGGGACATTGTGCTATCATCCCTTGACAGCCCTTTGTGACATGGTAAATGCCCTAAGTAATGAGAAATTATGATGAGTGAACTGAATTAAAGATAAAAACCAATAGGCCTTGCTGCCCAGGTCGAGTGTTCTCAGTAGACACTAGGATGTGTCATTTGTGACAGTTGTGTTGCAAGCAAGCAGTGATTGTCACAGGTAAAACATCTAACGAGCCAGATAGTGTGCTGGTTCTCTTGTGTGCAGATGTGCATTTTCCAGTGGGGAAGAAATAATTGATGTAGGAATTGTCATAACTCCACATGGCCCTAGCAATATGCCATGCCTGGGACTGATACCTCGTGTGCGATGGCCATTAAAATGTAATCATGGCACTACCCCATGGTATGTGGCCTGGGTGCCCATGAGAATCACCTGGGGAGCTTTTAAAAACATACTCATGCCAAGCCTAGTTCCTGAATAATTTTGCCAGAATCCCTGGGAATGGAGCCAGGCATCAGAAACACTTCGTAGCAATTTCAAGATTCTTGTATGCAGCCACGATTGAGGAACATGCTGAGACGGACACTCTGGTGTCTGGGCATTCCTTAGTGGCTAGAGCAATCTAGGTTGGATAGCTTTTTTATGGGCCACACATTAATAACATCTACTACTTTTTATTTAAGATTTAATCTTCAAGAAAAGCTTTTTTCCTCTATTTTTTTTTTTTTTTGTCAGTTCAAATTAACTACCATCTATTGAATAGCTAACATGTGACTGGGGAAGTCATGGAGTGCCTAGTTTTACATAAAATTTTATCGTAATCTGAAGAGTTCCCAGGAGTTGGAGCTAACGAATGATTGTAATGTGGAAGGGCACATGTTCAGAGGTAGCACATAGAGTGAGGTGACGGCAGAGTCATTCTGAAGGATGAGACAAGAGCCCACCAGTGGATCAAGGTGCACCTGCCACGTCACCTGGAGCGTCTTTCTCAGTCCTCCTCCTCTGCTGCATCTTTCTCCCTCGCAGGTCTGGCCACCTGCCACACCTCTCTCTGTCTGTCTGTTTGCTGCCGCTCTCCTTAGCAGGATGCACGTGCATGGAGGGCCCGTGTTAATCACTGCGTTAGCCCCAGCTCCCCACAGCGTGCCGGGCGCTGAGCAGAAGCTCCATAAATATTTCTCAAATAAATAAAGATTTGGAAGGAACATCATTCTAGGTGGAAAGAAAGATTACCCTTAAAATTTCCACACACAATTTCAGTACAATTTGAAAGGATTCTACTTAAATCAGTTAAATTTCTTTGAACCTATAGTGTCAATATTAAGACTTACTAGAATATCCTGTCTTGGGAAAAATAAATCTATCAAAACACACTCTTTTATGTTTGAAGAATGAAAACAATGGAGAAACATCACATAAAATGGTGAGGTTATATTTCATAAACATTATAAAACTCATAAATAATATAAAAAGAAGATCACTGGCAAGAACAGCTTACAGCATTATGTTGTAAAGTAAATCTTAAAATAAAAAGGCTTACAAAGCAACATGCTAGTGGAAAAACACACAAAACATATGAAGTCAGTTCCATATACAATCACAAAAAATCAATAAGAACCATAAAATCAATGCGGATCTTCTAATAACCAAAGAAATTAGTTATTGAGAGAGGTATGTTAAAATCTCACCCTATGATTGTAGATATGATTTGTCTATTTCTGCATTTATATCTGTTAAATTCTATACACATTTTAAAGCTTATTAATTTGGTGCATGCAGATTTAGAATTGTCGTATTTTCCCAGTGAATGATCATTTATTGCTAGGAAATGCCCTCTTTATCTCTAGTGACACCTCTTGTCCTGCAGTCTGCTCTGTCTGACATCACCCTGTTGACATCTGTTTGCTATTGCGTAGTGTCTGCATGACACGTTTTTCCATCCTTCTACTCAACCTTCCTGTTCTCTTACATTTAAGGCGCGTCCTATGTAAGCGGCATACAGTTGTTGCTATATTTAAAATCTGTTTTTAAATCCAGTGTGGTGGTTGTTATCTGTTATGTCCATTTACATTTGAGGTAATTACTGACACATCTCAATACTACCTACCATCTTTCTGTTTGTTTTCTGTTTGGCCCATCTCTTATGATGATTGATTTTCTCTCCTTTTTTGCCTCTTCTTGGATTGTTCTATATTATTCCATGTTCTTCATTCTTAACTTGTTAGTTATATGCTGTTTTATTATGCCTCCTTGTGACCTTTTGTGTTATTATTACCATACATTTCAATTCTATATATATTTAAAACCTCGTGAACCATTATTGTCATTTTATTTGGGCAGTATACCTTTAGATAAACTACCTCTGGCAACCACTAATCTTTTTACTGTTTTCATAGATTTTTCCTTTTCTAGAATGTTGTATAGTTGGAATCATACAATATATAGCCTTTTCAGACTGACTTCTTTCACTTAGAAATATGCATTTAGGTTTTCTCCATGGCTTCGAGTGCTAGGTAATTTCTTTCTTTTTTGCTGAATAAGGTCTGTGGTGTAGATGTACCACAAGTTACTCATCATTCACATATTGAGGGATATCTTGGTTGCTTCCAAGTTTTGGCAATTATTCATAAAGTGATATAAGCACTTGTGTGCAGGTTTTGGTGTGGACATACGTTTTCAACTTATTTGGGTAAATACCAAGGAGCACAGTTGCTGGACGATATGGCAAGAGTGTGCTCAGTTTTATAAGGAACTGCCAAACTGTCTTTCAAAGTGGTTGTACCATTTTGCATTCCCATGAGCGATGAGTGAGAGTTCCTGTTTTTCCGTATCCTTGTCAGAATTTGGTTTTGTCAGTGTTTTTGATTTTAGCCATTCTAGCGGATGTGTAATGGTATCTCATTGTTGCTTTAATTTGAATTTTCCTAATGGTATATGATGTTGGGCATCTTTTCACATGCTTATTTTTTATCCGAACATCTTCTTTTGTAAGATATGTGTTCAGATCTTTTGCCCACATTTTAATTGAATTGTTTTATTATTGTTGGGTTTTAAGAGTTCTTTGTACATTTTGGTTATCAATCTTTTACCCAGACATTTGTTTTGTAAATGTTTTCTACCAGTCTATATCTTGTGATTTCATTCTCTGAACCGGGTCTCTTGCAAGGCACAGGTTTTTAATTTAAATTAAATCCTAATTATCAATTATTTCTTTCATGGATTATGCCTTTGGTGCTGTGTTTAAAAATTCATCACCAAATCCAGGGTCATGTAGATTTTCTCCTATGCTACCTTCTAGGAGTTTTATAGTTTTGAATTTTACATATAGGTCTATGTTGTATTCCCAGTTAATTTTTGTGAGAGGTGTAAGGTCTGTGTCTAGATTCGTCTTTTTGCAGATGTCTAGATGTTCCAGCACCATTTGTTGAAAACACTATCTTTCCTCTATTGAATTGCCTTTGTTCCTTTTTCAACGATGAGTTGAATACATTTGTGTGGGTCTATTTCTGTTCCATTGACCCATCTGTCTCTTTTTTTGCCAAGACCACACTGTCTTGATTATTGTAGCTTTTTACTAAGCCTTGAAGTCGGCTAGTGTCAGGTCAAACCCCTGACATTGTTCTTCAATATTGTGTGGCTATTCTGGGTCTTTTGCAAACTCTTCAAATGAACTTTAGAATCAGTTTGCCAGCATGCTCAACATGGGACTTTAAATGAGATTGCATTGAATTTAAATATCAAGTTGGAAGAACTGACATCTTACTATCAAAACTTCCTATCCATGTACATGGAATAGTTCTACATTTATTTAGATTTTTTTATTTCCTTCATCAGAGATTTATATTTTTCCTCATATAGATCTTACACATATTTTGTTGGGTTTATACCTAAGTATTTCATTTTTTGGTGCAAATGGAAATGATATATGTTTTTATTTCAAATTTCATTTTTTTCATTGCTGGAATGTAAGGAAGCGATTTACTTTTGTCTATTAACCCTTTATCCTGCAGCTTGTTAAAATTGCTTATTAATTCCAAGAGGGCTTTGTTTTTGTCTTGGTTTATGGTTTATTCTTTGAGATTTCTATATAGATAACCTTGTCATCTGCAAACCAAGACTGTTTTTTCTTCCTTTCCAATCTGTGTACCTTTATTTGATTTTCTTATTATATTGCATTAGCTAGAACTCCTAGTACAATGTTGAGTAGGAGTAGTGAGAGCAGATAGCCTCACCTTATTCCTGATCTCAACAGAGAAACATCTAGTTTTTCACCATTAAGTAAGGTGTTAGCAGTAGGTTTTTTGTAGATGTCATTTATCAAGTTGAGGAAGTTCTGCTCTGATCCTAGTTTGTTAAGAGTTTTCATCATGAATGAGTGTTGAATTTTGTCAAATACTTTTTCTGTATCTATTTACATAATCATGTAATTTTTCTTCTTTAGCCTGTTGATATGATAGATTATATAGTATATAGATTATATTAATTTATTTTCAAATATTAAATCAGCCTTGACTGTGGTGTAAAATTTTTTATACATTGTTGGATTCAATTTGCTAATATTTTGTTGAGGATTTTTGCATCTATATTCATGAGGAATACTGGTCTATAGTTTACTTTCTTGCAGTGTCTTTGTCTGGTTTTGGTATTAGAGTAATGCTAGCCTCACAGAATGAGTTAGAAAGTATTCCTTTTGCTGCTATTTTCCATAAGAGATTGTAGAGAACTGGTGTAATCACGTCCTTAAAT